TGTTTGACGTGATGAAATGCTTCTTGTTACTTCGCATTCTTTAATAATACGTGTGTAAGTTATGCAATTTATTTTCAAATAGAAGTTTGTATGTTTTGTGAATCACGAGCATGTAGTTCGCTTGTTGTTCGGCGCACGATGGAGATATTTATTTTGTTGAACGTACTTTTTATGTCAGATTCACGTTAAATTAAATAATTCGAACTGAAAGTTAGTGTGTAAAAACATCATGGCCAGAATACAAGATCTTGAATATTGTCTGTATACAGGTGTGAAAAGTCAAGTACTCTATTTAAATTTTTAAAAAAAATACTTTCTTTTGTCTTCAGAGCGTTGTAAAATAAGTATATCACTTAAGTATCGAAAGGAAAAAATTATCTCATTTACAGATATTGTCAAGTTAAGGAATACTGTTCCACGATAGAGAGATTAGTAAATATCAAGATACGTGCACAAGGGACCTTCAGTGTTAAAAATTATTTTTTGAAAATCTGGAAATAGAATTCCAAGAAACACCCATATGTATATATACCAGAAAAATCAATAAAATCGTCAATGAGGATTGGAGACAAAATTGATCTTTGAGAGTAAACAGTAGTATTAGCAATGAAGTCTGTGACGGTATTTTTGTTTTTAGTTGGATTTTAACAGGCATTTTTAAAATAAAAGCACAATAAATAATCAGAAGTAAATGTGTTAAAATTTGTAAATAATAATAATAATAATAATAATAATAATAATAATAAATAATAATAATAAATAATAATAATAATAATAATAATAATAATAATAATAATAATAATAATAATAATAATAATAATAATAATAAATAATAATAATATAATAATTGTAAGAAGTAAGGATGTACAGGTTATTATTTATTGGAAAATTCTGAAACTTCCAAACTCATCAACCGCTACTAGCTTCTCTAGAGGCCCATTCCGAAGGTTAATCACAACTTGCTCAACTTGTTTGATGAAGTTGTAGCAGCTGCAGCACGTGATACAGAAATATAGCTTGGATGGTGATTGAATAATGTTGTTTATCCCTGCAGTTAGTCTAATATCGGATCGTTGAAGCTGGAAGGGGAACGGAGACGGAATGAGGAACGGAGAGACGTAATGAAAGAAAATGAGTCGAAAAATATCTTTAAGGAGGCTCCCATGGGCTTCTAATCAAAACTAAAAGTTGTTGCTCGAACTTCGGGCACATAAAATAGGAAATGCGTAAATTCATTCTTAACTGCGTTCAAAGCTGAAATAATGAATTGAAATCGGATAGTGCTAAGCCACATTTTGGACTAAGTTAATGGATTACCATTAATGCGGCAGTCAGCTTTCCAGTTTGAATTTCTGTAAGTAGTACTGAATGTTTTCAACAAATGGCAGAATAATGCAGTTTAATTTGATATAGAGTTATTATAGTTACAGATGTGTTACGGACACGTTTTTTCTTTTATGCACATTACATTTTTTTTAAATTACTTAGCTGAAAAGAAATTTCTTCCGAGCACTTCATTTTTATTGAAGAGATAGTCACGTGTAATAAAATTAAGCAAACCCCAGAATGAATTTCTAGCACGAGAATATAAAATTATTTTTCTTGGTGGATGTTAGATTGCCATTTTCCCGAGTAGCCTAAATCGTAACATATCCCCATCAGCACAATCGCCCCTTAGCTTGTTATTATTATTGTAGTATATGGATACCATTAAAAACAATCACCATAAAGTTGTGTTTTCTGAGGCTTCAAAGAGACATAAGATACTTGTCAGTTGGTTGTTGGTTACAGCTGTATGCAATTAACAAATATGGCGAAGTTGTGGTTATAAGGATGAGGTTGAAATATCCTGGAAAGCTGGGGATTCCAATGGTGAAAATTGTGAAGTCCTTTAAATGCAAGTGACGTGGAACATATAGTTTTGTCAATTATTTTTCGTGTTTTGAAAAGAAATTTAGCTTTGTATCCTTTTAATCATATAGATTTAAAACTGTAATCATATGCTAATTTAATATTTTGTTTGTTGCTGATTTTTACGTCCTGAATGATGGTAAGAGTGATAAAGTGAGGAGAATGTGATGAGAGAGAATAATTGTGAAAGGAATGTTGGTTCAGGCATATGGACGTGTATATTCTTGTACAAATGTTCGTGTTCTCGCATTTGTTTAAGAAATGAAAACCAAGCATTACTACCATTAGCATGATAATAAAACATCACTTCAATAATTTGGTGAAACACACTCATGCTCTATGTGGGCCTCTAATCCGCAAACTTTGACCCGAAGGGCTTCAAGTCCTCTCGAAGTTTCTGTACCCCAAAGTCGACAATGTTAATTATTCAATATTTAAGCCGCATAAAATATAGTACATAAATTATTATATTAATTACTAAACTAATAACAATTATTTATTTAGTTTTTCTTACTTTTTGTTAGCTAAGTACTGAATCGTTCACATTGTAAAATCAAATAAACGGAGAAAATCTACCACGAAACTTTTTTTTGAGGATTTTGAAAGCTGGTAACATTCTTGGGCGCGAATAGAGACAAATGAAGAACGGGTTTTCAAGTGTATGAAAATGCTTTTAATCGTGTTGTCAACAAAAATACGTTATAAATATTTAAATATGAACAGCCGATATCACACTTAATCTTCCTGTTATCAGAGACAATACCGCTTACGTTTCCGCTGCCGGGTTGTTCACCATACGACTGAAACAGGTGATGGCATGGGTGAAACACTTTCTCGCGATTCACGAACATTGACCGCACAAAGTACATCTTCACGTCGCGTGACTCCGCGTCTTGTAAGGTAATAAGCACAGAGTCGTCCGAAGTCCATTTGAAGCTTTAAGGCTTTTTTTCATTTAATGCAAAACTCCCATGAAATGAAAATGAGAATCATTGGAATATCTTCCTAACAATTAATGTTTGTCTTGAATCGTATCCCATGATCTTAAGGATTATGAACTATCAACTATCGTCTATCAATAGTGCGTTGATGGGAGAGTTCTTGATACTTTCAACTCGTACTATTTAACTTAACTAATATTGCATGTTACTATCGCCACATGAAGGAATGCTACAGTCATTTCTCAGTCACAATGCAATGTACATGAACATATCAGAATTTAGAATATTACCCACCCCCCAGTCACAAGTTATAATTTTCTCAACCGAAACATTGCAAGTGAATACTTCACAATTAATTAAATAAATTATGATGGGTATTATTAAACGATAGTTGACATCAAATATTCTTATTACTAGTAATACAATATTAAAGTGAAGGTATAACCTAATATTATATTTATCTTGCATAGAATTTAATACTCGACAATTACTTCACCAGAATCCCGTATATTGTTTAATGTCCTTATTAACTGTTATTTTACTTATTGCTTGAAATTAGGTGTGTTAAATTTAGAATTAAAAGGCAATGTATTCTTCATTTTGCATCCATTCTTAATTTGGATTAATGGCTTTGCGCTCATTGACCTTAGACTGTCCTAAAATTTGCGGTCGCACATGACAATAACGATCAAACGGTAAAAAGAATTGCTGTCAAGTGATTTTACATTTTCACAACAAAACACTTTTGACTGTGCCCAGAATTACGCACGGTTGGTATATATGAATCCAAGAAAGAGAACTGCGCAATGAAACCGATATGTCATTTGCCCGAAGTGTTAGTGATTGTTCACCTGTCGGGGACAATTTACGTATTACAGTTATTTACACACAATCTAGCAAATTGACGCATTGGTGAAGACACCGCCATGTCCATTTTTGTATCTTCATCATCTCAAACTGTAGCTCTATAAGGGTTTATTCAAAGATGTTTATACAGAGTAAATTTCCTGCTCCATCATTAAGCGCGAAATTGTATTAGATCTAGGGCACTTTATATTCGCTATTGATAAAATGCTAAGGAAACACTACGTTACCATTGCATACATGAGTAACACTGAATTGACGCATTGTATGCTTTTAAAACTAGTTATTGGTGGTCCTAAAGGGACGTGTCAATGTATTTTTGACGTAATCTGTAATATGTATTATTTTTGAACGTCCTATTACATAATTGGAGGGCGTTTACCACATTGTAGCTTAGGTTCTCAGAAACGTTTTAAGTTGCATTCCTGTATGAACTATTTTATTTTTTAAATACATGATTTATAAAGTGCAGAATATTCATTAGGCCCAGCTAGTCGTTAGGCGTTGTTGCAGCGTTGAAATTGGCGCCCCCTTTATTTCCCCAACAGCCATTCCGTTGCGAAACCAGCCGTTCTCGTCGGGCAAGCCCAATGGAAGGCTGTCATTCGTCCGCTTGCGAACGCAGAGTGCAAGAAAGTGTTTCGGCGTCGGTGACAAAGAGCCGAGGAGGGCGAGCGGGCGCTTCCGGTGCGCATCGCGTGGTTTGTCGGTCGCGCGTTCGCGAGCGGCCCCGTTGTGTCGTAGGCGGACGGAATGCGCCGCGCGCGGGGCTGTCGAGCCGCGGCGAGAGCACACACCGTGCGCCGCGCGCTGTCGGGACACGCCAGCATGTGACCGCGCGGGAGTTGGCATTTGTAGTTACGAGTGTGCAAGTGCAGTTGTAGTTTTTTTTTCTTTTTTTTCTTTTTTTTCTTTTTTTTCTTTTTTCTTTTTTTTCTTTTTTTTCTTTTTTTTCTTTTTTTTCTTTTTTTTCTTTTTTTTCTTTTTTTTCTTTTACCGAGCGAAGTGGCTCTGGGGGTCTTCTCATCATCAATCTCTAGGCATAAGAGTGTGTAAAGGATGGGAAGATCGTTACAAGTCAGTAGTTTGTTTTTTTAAATTTTGTTCCAAAGACAGTCTAGAATTCCAAAGACGCCACGGGATTTTTTTTCTTTCTTACCGAGCGAAGTGGCTCAGGACGTAGCGCGCCGACTTAGCATTCTGGAGGCCCGGATTCAACCCCTGTGCCGACCATCCTGGCAGAGATTTTTGAGGTTTATCTCAGTCGTCCAGGCGATTGATGGGATGGTTCTATTGAAAGGACACGACTGCGAGACCGGCGTCGCAGGGCCGAATTCGTTAGCTACGTGATGTTACGAAGGTTAAGCGAATTCGAGACATCGCGGGTTCCTGGTTAGGTGAACGACTAGGAACCCAGGATCTAACGGCGCCGAGGCTAATTACCCTTTACGGGTCCTGTAATGGATAAATACAAATACAAAAATTGCAGGTTTGTGTTTCGGAAGTTCCTAAGACCCTATCTGTGTATCACGGTGACTCTCAATGCCCCTCTCTCTGTTTCTACCAGCCCATCATTTTCTCAGCCTGCCAGCCCTTTGTATTCATGATAAACGTGCCTCATAAGAGGGGAGTCCGCCCATCATCAATCTCTAAGCATTAGAGTGTGTAAAGGATGGGAAGATCGTTACAGGTCAGTAGTTTGTTTTTTAAATTCTGTTCCAAAGACCGTCTTGAATTCCAAAGAAGCCACGGGATCGAACTACCTAATCAAACGTAATGTAGAAATATTCAGAGATTGGCGTGCTACTATTAAGATACGAATATTTATTGGTTTACGTTTTCGCATCTTTAGGTACGTACAGACGCCTACCTTAGGGAAGAATTAGGTGAAGGGAACACGGTTTGCAAAGAATGCATGTATTGCTACAACACACAACTTCCATTACTTTACAGTTACACGGGTTTCGAACTTACAACCCCGATTATAACGTAAACTTCGGGACAAATGTGCCACTCGGGCCAGCCGAAATTGGAAGGAAGATGATTCAAATGTAATACATGGTGGTTGGGGGCAACCTCACCAAGCGATCAATACCCAACATCCAAACTGGAGGCGGGATTCGAACCCGCGATCCTTCAAACCGGGGCTGTCCAAGCGCATCCACAGCTTCGCGGATCGCCTCTCCAGTTTCTTAACTACCGACAAATACGCCACTGTTGGGATCGAAATATAACCTCGTAGTTTGCAAGACTTTAACCGCGGGTCCGCCATCAAACATTATCGCTTTTCGTTGTAAACAGTCCAAAATTGAGATTTTTAAGGTAAATGTGTTAAAAAAAACTACGTAGAATAAGACTTTATCTCTGACATTTTGCTTTATCTTCGACTCTGAACTAATAAACGGCTTGATAGCAGATGAATAGCTATTTTGTGGACGAAGATCTCCATTTATTTTAGGGAATAATTTTTTGTCGGAAATTGGCCGTCTAGCACCACGCGAACATTCACGCGCTCCAAAGAGGCGGAGATACACATATACCCGTGGAAAGTGTATGCGACTGCTTTATTTTGAGGGTGGGGGTCAGGATAATGTTTAAACCGATTTTTATTCCCCAGGGTTGCTAGTCCTGGGAGGATAAAATATAGAATTATGATGATAAAGAGGGATGAACGGACGACACGCACATAGAGATAAACACACCCATGCCCGATTCAAACCCGCGATCCTTCCGTCTGATATCGCCAGGGCTCTACAACCTTAGGGATCTCGAGTATCCAGATCGGCTTTAGGGAATAATGTTTAAAAATTCAGAGTTGAATATTCAGAATTCAGAATTGAAATAGTGAAATACACAAAAACTAAGACAAACATTTTTTGAAAAAAAACAACAAAAAAACAACTTGAAATATTTTCAATTGACGGGAAGCACATGGAGTTGCGGAGAATGTAAATTCCGTTCTCCTGTAGAAAACAGGTGTTTTGTGTTACAACAGTATTCCTAAAAAGCGGCGATATGCCTCCGCACTCGTTAATGTTACTCATGATTAAAGAAATTTCAATTTTTTCCCCCGCGTTGTGTCCATCGTGAACCACTGTGCGGCGTAGACTGCATCCTCAGCGCCACCGCTTTCTTTCTCGCTTCGCCTCGCATCGCATCGCAGTGTTGATGGCGCGTTGCTCGGCGGTGACGTAGCAACTCCGTGACGTCGCCGCGCGCACCTGCTGACGGACGTTTCTCTCGGAAAACGCGGCTGCCAGAGGAAGCTGCCCGCCAAGGAGATGTGTTGGCGTCAGATGGGAGGCTCTTACTCACGGTGTGCAATTTGAGAGATTATTCCACTCGTGAAATTAAAACCAATAGTGTTGAACTGTACGTACAAAATGCCTCAATCAGGGTGGTGTATCGCAAAGAATGTATCGCTTTTTCTATCCGATTTTTATTACCGCTTATATCTACTGGCCAATCGTAAACAGTGACTCCTCTATCTTCGGAGGCGGTATACATCGATCGCTATGACGATGTTCAATAAATCCCATGTGTACTATAGCATAACCTCTTCGATTTTAACATAGATTTCAGTTATTTTCATTATTTGGAGCGTTTTGAAACTCTGTTGGACATAATTTCATTCAATTTCATTCGTGGAATAGTACAATGAAATACCACTCGTGCTCTGGAAATCCTGAGAAAAATTCCCTCCTTGCTTCGAGAGTCGGGGATGTATCGGAAATTTCTAAAGCACTCGTGATATTACCTTCGATAAAGTGTTCTCGCGAAGAGGAACATTTTTAAAATGCAATGTATCAAATAGCTATTTGTTCTTATGACTGTGTTAGTGGTGCTGTTTTATTAAGGTCATAAAAATAATTGCAGTATTAGTACGATGTGATCGATTTTAAATGTTTCTCTGGCTAATGTTGATATGTTTTTCAATTATAAGAATCTAATATAATCGAAAGTATTATCACATATTGAAGGAATGTACCTACCTTAATGCACCAGGAACAATGTAAATTTGCTTTCGTATAAAGTTGTTTTACAATTCTTAAAAAACTGCTGAAATTTCTACATAAGCCTGTTTTGTTTTACTGCTGGTTACTGCAATTTTACACATGCTATTTGCAAAACATCCTTTCTCTAAACGACGCCATTGTTTCTTTATCTTGTTATACACATACCCACTATCCAATTCGTTGAGTTCTTTCAACAAGGCGAAGTTTTTCAAGTGGCATTGAGGAAAGACTTTTATTTCATAAACACAGTTTGTCGCATATGTGTACTTTGAATAAGAGCTATAAATTCTTTCTAAATATAGTGAGTGATGGGTGTAGAATCATTGAAATATGAATAGGGAACATAAATTATTATACCCCCACTTGAATATTATTTTAAATTTCTTAAAATTCTGTTTTGATCATAATCATGCTCTCCAGTAAGTCGACATAAACTATAGCATATCATTGAAGATGCATACTTTCATGCAAAAGGCAAAAATATAGGTGAAACCCTCGCCAGAAAGACTTGTTCCCTGCCTCGACAGGCAAATGAGCGAATTGGCGTTGCGAATATAAGTCAGTGCGGGCGGGTGCATTGCGAAGGAGAGGCGTTCGAGCGGTGATTGCGTCATCGCCTCGCACCGGAGAATGAGGTGCGAGACGAGGTCGCGAGGGAGCGGAGCGGAACGGAGCAGACGCGGCTGGCGTGGCGCTGGAGAGAAATTCTAATACGCCTCATGGTGAAGTAAATTTGTATTTGAAAAAAGTAATACATAATATTAATAATTATAAAAAATATAAATAATAATATTAATAAATAATAATAATCGACGTTGAAACTATGAGAATTGATAATTATAAAGAAAGCAGAAGAGAAATGAAAAGCTGAAGCGGTTCAAATGGATCCGAAGGAAGAAAGAACAAACATGATGAAAGATTATAGAAATATTGGAAAGAGAGGAAGAAAAATATCAAAGAATGAATAGTGAGCTGGCTTTAGCGGGAAGAAGAAAAATAATATCTAGCGACAATATTTAAGCGGGCTCTTCGAATGAGAGAATCGAAGAAGAAAGAAAGAAGAATAATAAAAAGGAGAGAGATGAACAAGAAAAATAAGTTTTCTTTATTGAAGATCAAATAAATAAAATATTCTGGACAATGGCGCGAATAAATTAACCGCAGATCACGATCCGTTTGATCTACGCAAACGAGACCACGCTAATGAAGAGGCTACACCAGGAACGTAATTCGCCTACCGTGGCGTGCAGTGGGGCACGGCGATCCTTATTAAGCACGCCAACGCTGATTCGCCACGCGCCTCCGTGCAACCAGCAGCGGCCACGCACTGCTCCTCGCGGTTTAAAATATCACCTGCCCAGCTGCGCATCTGGAGCAGACAAACGCCCGGCCTCCAATGACGGTGCTAGAAGTAGTGGGAGGGCATAGCATCAAAGGAGAAATGATTCAAAGAACGTGTGTGTAAATAACACTGTAAGGATAGGTGACTGTTTTCACAATATAAAAGAAACTACCTGCACAAAACCCTGTAATTATGTTATTACTAGATAAGGAGTTACTTTCCTGTCTTGCATCAAACAGATTCAAGATGAAATGAAGTTTGCTGATTATGACAGGAAACATTACTGTATCGCACATTACAAACGGGCATTACGATGAAACTGTGAGAGTGTTAAAACTAAGTGGATCTGAAGGGACATGAATTTTGTGGGGATTGGTGAATGTTTTGGTGGACGTATGGGGGACAGTTGAGGGGCATGCGGGGACTGGGCTGTGCTTAATTTTCTTTCTAAAGCAGAATTATACTTTTTGAATATTCTTATAAATTTTTGGGGATTTTGCTCTTATGGAGGTTCTTACTTCCCAGGGTGCGTTGTCAAATGTGAGCAGTTACTAAATCTATGTGAAATAATTATTTGGATAGGTAAACTATACGATTTCTGCGGCAACGGGCGAGTTTATACTTCTTTTTCTCGAGTACCGGGGAGTTAGTAAAAGCATTCGCATAACTTCTAATGAGATTTTACATCGCCTGATGTACAAATAGACGTCAGAATTATTGAGCTAACTCACCCCTTCTTCAGTTCCTCGGAAATTGCCTGTTCCGTAAAGATTTCCTTATTTTCCAAACCTTAAAAGTGTTCCAATACGCCACGTCTGTTATCTCGCATCATTTCATGAATGGATCCACCTGTAGTCAATGGATCTGTACTCTTCGTCTCAGTCACTTGACCATATGTTAAGTCACTCAAACATTTCTTCGCTTTGTATGGACGTCATTCTCTCTATGAAAAGGCACTATAACCCTGTCAATGTTCGCAGGTTCCCTATTTGTTAAACACAGAATGCTTTTGATCGTATGCTCCTTAGCTAACAAATTCGTTTCACATTTTCTTAATTACACGCAGATGTGGTTTTTGCTTATGTATCCCACAAAACGAAAATATCTCTTTATTTCTCTTAGCTGTAGAAAATGACTAACAATTAGTTAAATTAATGGGTGATTTTCGTAGATTGTACGCTATAAAGTAGAAGAACCAACTTTCTGTCTTATCTTAGTAATATAATTGTTCTTTAATTTTTTCGATTCTTTCATAATAGTGATGGTAACTACATCATGGTTCAGAGCTATACAGAGGTTGCCATTCGTTTAGATTTTTTTGTAATTATCGACACTATCAAATGTATTTAATAGATGCGCACAACTATCTTCTTAATTATTAGATTTTACTGTTCAACACCGTAAGACAATCGAAACTATATTCGTGAGTATTATTTAAACAGTGAGACCATGAACATGAGTGTTTGGATACTCAAGTACTTTGCACAAAACCTCCTTGTATAATTTGTATAGGAGTCTTAGAGTAAGCACGTACTCTCTTAAGAAAATAATTAACTTATTAGTTTTTTGGTATTGAGGATCTTGGGAATAAAAAAATGTTGATAAAGATCACTCTTTTTGTATCTATTAAAGAATCAGGTATCAGAAACCAACTGTGGAGGAATAATCTAAAAAAATCTTCCCAATGAAGGCACCCCCGTGAAAAGTGTGTTTCGCACAATACTTTTAAATGAAGTCTGTTAAAGACCTCTTAAGAGTTTTCGCGAGGCGAGGCGGGGGAGAGAGGCGGGGGAGAGAGGCGGG